CGGCTAACGGCGCGAAGTTTGAGCAGGCACCGATCTCTTGCCTAGAGCTGCAGGCGTATGACACGGCCTGGTCTCTCCTGGCAGGCACCGCCGGCAGGAGAAGTCATAAAGCCTTAAAAGAAAGGAGATTCACAACCTGGGGGGGTAGGGCGGACCGGACGATGGACGGACGGACGGACAAGGGAATTCGCCTTCCTGACGAGACCAAGAGTTTTTCTTGGAGTTTTAGCTTAATACAGAATTTCATATAATCCTAGGAGTTGCAATGGACCTTAGAAATCATCTAGTCCCAGCCCCTTGCCATGGGCAGGGACACCTCCTTACTAGATAAGGTTGTTCCAGGCCTCATCCAGCCTGGCCTTGAACACTGCCAGGATCGGGGCATCCACTACCTCCCTGGGCAACCTGTTCCAGTGTCTCACCACCCTCGCAGTAAAAACTTTTTCCTAATATCTAACCTAAATTTTCTCTCTTTCAATTTGTACCCGTTCCCCCTTGGCTTGTCACTGCAGATCCTAACACACTGTCCCTCTCTGCCTTCCCTGTAGCCCCTTCAGATACTAGAAGGCTTCTAGGAGGTCTCTACGCAACCTTCTCTTCTCCAGGCTAAACTGTTCCAACGTCCTCAGCCTGTCCTCATAGGGGCGGTGCTCCAGTCCTCTTAACAACTTACCCACTTTGTTTCTCTGAACTTGCTCCAACAGTTCCCTATCTGGGGATGTTTTGTTCTTAAATTTCTAATTTGGGTTTGATTTTATGCTGACCTTTCCAGTTAGGTGTTTAAGAGTCTTAATAGACTGAATTATCAATGACATGTTTTTGTTATTTTATTGCTATTATTGTTAAATGTATGTAAGAGATGAAAAGAATGTTTTGCATGTAACATGGGCAAGGCAAATTGCAGAAATCTGATATGATTTTATCTCATGTTCAGCTGTGCAGTATTGCTTGAAACAGTCTTTCCTGCATCCTTGAACAACCTGTCCGGAAAACAGATGGACCAGAAGAAACTTAATCAGAGAAATTTGTCTTTGAGTGTCTGTGGAGAATATGCTGCAGATTTATATGTGGCATTAAGCACTTTCTCTAATTTGATTGACTTGAGTGAAGACCTAGGCATGTCTTATTCCCTTGGACTCAGGAAATGTTCTTCTTATTTGTTGGCCACTAGTTGGGTGTATGCAGATTTTTTTGTTTGCTGGCTTAATGGACTATTTGGTTAATATGTTGTTTTGCTTTCTCTTCAGGCAGACAAATTGTTGAAGTCATTGAAGCAACACTTTGAAAGGACAAAACAAGAGGATGAAAATGTGGTAATAGATGATAAATCACCGTTGTTTTTAAGAGATATGAAACTAAATTTGTAACCAGTAAAGCAGGGCATGGGCTGAAGGGTGGGTTTGACAATGAGGTGAGCTGTAATAAAATACCTTTTTCTTCATAGATCCCATAGTTTAATGTACTCATGTACTGATAGAAAAGATGGGCTGATGTTGATTTTGAATTGGCCTCTTAATATGACCCAAAGCTGATTTCCTTTCAGCTGCCAGAATTAACAATTTATTTTTCAGCATCAGTGTAAAATTATTCTCTGTGAATACTAAATTTAATTTCTGTGGGAGAATTTCTTATTGCTAACGGACGTGTGAGCAGTCCAGCCTTGCTAGCAGGGCCTGAGCAAGGTGCAAGCTAAGCTGTTCAAGGACACTGCTCTGGCTGGAATGCAAGGAAGAAGGTAGCAAGATAAGCAGCTCCTGGCTGTGGAATGCAGGAGCTGAAGATGGTTAGAGGTGGAGAACAATGATTGGGGCATTTTATGATTGATATGTTAATAACCAATTATGTTGTGTGTAAGGTGGGCTAGTAATAGTAGTTAACCAATGATAAGTGGATGCTTATAATAGGTGTGTATAAAAGAATCACTTTTGTAAACAATAAACGAGAATGACCATACTCATATTGAGACTCATCATTACTCCGGGTCTGTCTCCCACTCTGACAAATTTCCATTGATTAATTCCTAATTCTTGCCTGTTTATCTCCAGACAGTAGTCTGTGCCAAATATTTGATTCATTTTTGTATGCCTGGATGAAGGGGACTAGATACTAGTTGGAAAGCATTTTGCATCTACTACAATTTACCTATGCTAACACTATAATGAAAGCAATACAGTTGTGACATTTCCTTTATTCATCTTTTAATGTATTGTTTTCTTAAGTTTTTTCTTTGCATTTTCTCTTCTGTAAGCTGAATTATTTTGTGGGGTGTGGTAATGTCTTCTGCTTTTGATAAAAAGTATTTTGGTATTGGCTTTTTTCAAAAATATATCTCAATCTAAGCATTTCCTTTAAAATCTTTAAATCTTTAATCTTGTTGGCTTGAAAGAGGCCCTGGGTTTTTGGTCAAGAGTATTCCACAGAAACATACAAAGCTGGGAGGGTTATGGCATCATGCAAGTTAGATTTCAAATATGAAATGTTAGGTTTTGATAATCTTATTGAAATACAGTATAATAAAACAATAATAGGAATTATTTTTAAAGTCTTCAAACAATGAGCTTTGATGTTTAGGGAAGTCCAGCTCCTTGACTACTATGTTGATAAATGGCAGGGTACTGTTTTCTTCTCTGAAATGCTTTTTGCAATAATAAATTTGAAACTGTTCCTGGAGTATCTAATTTATGTCTGCATCTGGTATCTTCAACATTGTAATGTTTTTCTGCTACAGGATGCTGGAAAAAGTGCATCTGCTTCCATCCAATCAGATGAACTGAGCAACCAGAAGGCGACGATGGCTGATTCAATGTCTTTTATTACAAAAAGACGTGATAAAGAAAAGAAAATAACTAGGAAAAAGAGGAACCCTCATGAAGAAACTAATATCAGTGAAGAAATCCCGGGACTTTCTGATGAGAAAGAGGTAATTTGCATTGCTTGGTTTTGTGTGCTGACTGTCCCCCCTTCTCTCAGCATAATTTAAATATATACTTGATTTATTTTCTACCATCATTTATAGATGGTATACATTTATATATATGTATACATATGAGAATTTCATACGCAAGCGTTCTGGTAGTGCTGTTCTGTACTTTGTAGCACTGACTTTTGTCTACCTGAACTATGTGCTCTTCCATAATAAACAAATTACTTGCTAGTCACTGTTTCAAGGAAATAAATTCCTCTAAGAAATATTCAATTCCAAACACTATCTGAGTGCAAGACTGCTTTCACTAGTTCATAGTATTCTGAATATTAGGTTAGTTTCAGAATTAGTCTAAAATAAGGCTGTTCTCACTTTTTTTGGTACAGAAAACATTATCAGAAGTTGGATGATTGCTTAAACCTCACTTCACTTTTTTTATTGCGAAGGCTATATATTCATACAACTCATGAGTAAACCTTTAGTGGGTTTATTCATGTGTTGTGTGACTGAGGGAGGGGAAGTTTCAGGGTGAGATGGTAGTAAAATTTTTGTTCTCTAGAGTTACCTGCAAGAAGTGAGTAAACAAAGAACTGTCTGAATAGCTTCTACTGAGTTAGAGAAAGGAAATGAGGAGTGTTAGTCTGTCAGTGCTAGAGAATTATACAGTAACCAAAACAGCAATAGTAAAAAGTAACATGCCCAGTAAATTTATTTTTACTTGCAAATCATTAACTTTTGTCAATAAAGGCGATTTCATACTGAAATGCTAGAGCTGTGCAGGTAAAAGCTTTCTAAAATATCTGTTTAAGTAACATAGTAAGTATTTCACAGGTTAATTCAGGTTGGACTTCAGAAAATATTTTGCCCTATCTCCCAATCAAAGCAGGCTCAACCATGAGGTTAGACCACAGGGCTTATGACTTTGTCTAATCTGATATTGGAAACCTCTGAAGATGAAATCTATGAAACTCTGAGCAACCTGTTCCACTGACTGTCCGCAGAACAACAGCCTTTCTTTATATCCAGTTGGAACAAACTGTTTAAATGAAGTATGTTTTAAATTGCAGGTGCATTCTGAAATGAAAGAAAATGAAGTGCCTCAGGGAGAGCAGGAGAGAGGACAGAAAGTACTCCAAAGCAAGCAACAAGTAACTGAAAAGATAGCTATTGAGAATCCAGGGACTCCTGGTCACAAGAAACAAGCAGAGAAGACTTCTGCTAAAAGCAGGAGAGATGAACGTAAGTAGAAAAATCAAAGTAAATTTAGTAATTAGTACTACTTAAAATAACCATAAGGTACATTTTATTGTGTCTGCAAAGATTTTTGTAGCATGTCTGGTGACATTTGGAGACACCAGAAAAAAATCTGTCTGGTTTGTATACTTGTTTAAGCTACTGTAATACAAATCCACAAATTCTGCAGTGTAGGAATTCTGCTGGCTTTGACTTCAGAACTCTGGAGTTGATGTTTTAGTGAGAGTTTATCTGCATCTTGCACTTCAAAAAGGATCAGTGTCATTTGGGATACACCTGAGGTGTTAATTGGCTTCTTTAAAAGGTGGTAAGAAAGGGAGAACTTGCTTCCTCATACTTCATTTGTCTTTTCCTACGGATAGACAGGTTTATCTTGTTCTTCCCAGGAATAAAATTATTAGAAAAGGAGATACAGACAGAATACTTTATAATTTGTTTGAACTACCTCACAGTATCTGAACATATTCCAGTGGATCATTTTTCCATCTGGTGACTTTTTTTTAGTCTTTCAAACATGATGCTGCTGAAAATAGTTCACTTATCCCTCACTCCTTTGTGTATGCAGCTGACATGAAGAAATGAGTTTGTCTACCCAATTTGATAATTTGTTGGTATTATGAGTCTGTCAAGTAAGATAGATAAATATGTATATATACACAGACACATTTTTATTTGCTCTGGTTAGGCTAGGTGTATGTAGTCTGTATTATGCTGTGTAATGGATATTCTTGATGTTCAGTAGAATTTACAAGGACAATCTTATTGGAAATTTTGAAATTCGCTTAGAAATCTAGGATTTAATGATGAGAAGTTTTTTTTTTTTTTCAACAATTACTTTCGGCAACCCCATTATTTGCTTCAAATAAATCTTCATTTCAACATATTGAGGTCATGTAAGTTTGCTTATAAGGGGATGTGAATGAACAGAAAAGCAAACATTAGCTTTTGATATGCAAATGCTGAACTTGATGTGAAGTCTTTACCTGATTTTTTTTTTCCCTTTAAGAATATTAATCATGAAAATGTGAACATGAGCTTAATACTATACCTGAGAGCAGAAATGACAAAAAGAACTTAGACTCTCTGTACGTATATAAGGCAGTGGCAGAAAAGCTGGTCAAAAGCTATTTCTTTGTTATCAAGTTATCTTTTTAACTTCCCATGTAAAATACTATCATGAGATATTAACCTAATATAACTGTCAGGTTCATGCTGGGCTTGTTGTTTGTCAAGACATGCTATTAATGGCAAACCAATTAAAACACTCTTGAGAGACTTAGGATGTTACCTATTCCAGCTGTTGGTTTTATTTCTCAAAACCTAAACCCACTTTGAGGAGATAAGGTGTGTTTTGGAACAAATACTTTTAAAGCCATGTAACAACTTTAAAATGTTTTCCAGGAGTTCTAATGATTTTGTCTAATTTTACTGTACCAGGTGCTGCTCATCATGCAGGACGGAAGATCCCTTTACATGTCAGCCGTGCATCTAGGTCTGTGAAAACAGGAATGAAAGCTACTACACCAAGTAAGATAACAGACCATCTCACAAACAGATGTGTTTTCTGTGTGTAAAGGGAGACTTAGTTTGCTGCTTTTTCTTTTCTTGCAACTCAAGTTTTTATCTGTGCTCCAAGAAGAGACTATCCTCTCTTTAAAAAGCAAGCAAACAAAAAAATTTCCCATGTTGAGGTCCATCTTCCAACTTGTAGCTGCTGAAGTAGTTTCTTTTTCTTACTGTTTGGTGACTCAGTCTTTAACTAGAGGGACACATTATGTTTTCTTTGAGGCCATAACAACAGGTGTTGCAGTACTGTCCTACTAAGTACTAAACTTCTGTAGGAGCATATCATATCTATGAATCTTTTTTTGTTTGTTTGTTTGGAACATCTTAGACTTTAAAAAGCTGCATGAGGCTCAGTTCAAGAAAATGGAATCTATTGCTGACTACATGGAGAGGAAACAAAAATTGAATGAAAACTGCAGCAGTTCTCTTAGTGCAGTCAAGGTAAGTGATAACAGAGGAAGATATCTTCTCCTCCCTTATGCCTTTATTTTCAGAGACTCTCTAAGTCCTGTAGAGTCTCTTTAGAGGAGTAAGTAGCTTCAGAGAGCAGGAATTAAATATTAAGTTTCTCTTTTGTGCCTTAAAGAACTGTCCAATGGCTGCATGTGACTGTCCTTTAAAACATCAGCAATCTAGGTTATTCTCAGTGGCCCTAACTCTCATTTCTTATATTTAACCCTCACATGGATGAAAGCTGCTAACAGGGCCTCTTTCAAAGTGTGGCAGAGCCTGGAAAAGTGACAGTAATGTATCAGTGAATATGTCAATGGACATAGAATCTTAGAATCCTTCAGTTTGGAAAAGACCTTTAAGATTGTCAAGTCCAATCATTATCCTAGTACTGCCATGTCTGTTATCAGAGCAGTAACATTGAAACAGTCAGACAAGACTTTTTTTTTCATGGTATATATTGTATCAATGTATACTTAAGACAAATTACTGTTTGCAGGCATTGACCAAAAAATCAAACCCCTTACGAATATCAGCAACAGGCACTCCATGTAACAGTTCTAACAGTGCTTTCAGATCAGTTTAATAATAATAAAACTACTTAGGTTCACAATATGCTTTTAAGGAAAAAAAAAAAAAGAACTGAAGAGACTGTTTTCCCTTCCTCTTGGCTGCTTTTCAGATAAATTTTTATCAGTCTGGTAACTCATGATTTGCTTTTCCTTAGAAACGAACCAGCAGCAAAACGCGTTTATTCAGCCCAAACCCAGAAAGAATCAGGTACTCTATCACCTGCACTCCTAGCAACCTCCGGCGCTCACCACGGACTTCTCTGACTGCTGCTAATCGGAGTATTTTATCCAGGAAATCTTCATTTAATCCTTCTGTCCTTTCAACATCCAAAATGAATGTCAGGTAAAAAGAACAAATCAAAACTACCAGCAAGCCATTTGGCATGACACATGTGAAATTATTAACACTGACTGTAATTTTACTACATTATTTCTATTCCAAGCACAAATTATGCAGGACTAATTCTGATTATTAACTTCCAGCCTAGCTTCATGGCTGGTTTGAGCTTTACTATGCTATTGCTATCTTGATTCTTCATTTTTGTGTCTGTTTTAGAGGAATCTTGCATCGTGGCTTTCAATTTCCTAAAGCAACCAAGCAAATTACTTTTCTTCTCTTACTGTTAGATTTTCCATTTTGTCAGGCAACCTAACAGCCTCTGTTATATCAGAATTAATTTCTTAACCAGAACGGTATTCAGTGTTCCACGTGAGTCTTGCAATGGGCTCATCATTTGGGATTTTTAGGTACACTCTATTCCTTTTTCTCCTCTACTTCCATCTCCCACCAGGGTCACATTGACTACTTTAAGCAGATTGTTTCTTGCAGATGGAAACCAAGTTAACACCAGAAAGTCTTGAAAAATTGCTAAATGCATGAACTCATACTCAATGCTATTATATCTCATGTCATTATTCCTTCACAGTAATCTAATTCTCTATTAATGTTGATGTTTCATGGACTTCTGTTATTGGTAAATTTTATTAGCTTATTAATACTTTTTCTAAAGCCTTAAACAATAAGCCTTTTAAAAGAAGGAATCAAAGGGGACAGTCCTTATGGTATTCCATTGATAAATGCCCTTTTGGTTTTCTTCCTAGTGAACATCCTTGTCTGTGCTATTACTTTGTCATTTGTAACTATTGTACTAATTCTGACTCTAATCACTAAACTTTCCACAGTGACTGAAGGTCTGATTAGACATTCTACCCCTGCTAACAATACACACTGCTCAGGGCTTGGTTTTGTTACTTTCCATTTCTCTGGTGACCTTCACTTCTCAATTTTTGCATGCCAAGGTTAGAGCTGCTGGAGCTTTTTGGTCCCTGAATAAAGTGTGTGTGAGATTGCTGTTGTGAAGTCAGTGCAACTTCTAATACTGATATCTGATAATGCATAATCATGTGACTTTGGAATGCAGATCTTTGGCTGTTCAAAGGTCAAAATCAAGTTTATAATCTTACTAGCTGTGTTTCTACTTCAAGTGTCCTCTGTTTAATTTCAATAGATAACAAATGAAGACAATATTAATTCTGCCTCTGGTGTCCTGTTGCATGGTCTTTGCTGTCTTCATTGAAGCCCTAATTGATTCTTAGCAATATGTAAACCAAAACAGCACTTTTAGAATTTGCTTCCATTCTATTGGTCCAAATATTCTCAGAGGTGGCTCTTTCAATGTGTTTGTCATCATAAACTTGCTAGCCCACAAAACACACCTTTCTTCAACATTTTCGCACTCCCTTTCTGAATCTTGCAGGCTTTTAGTTTATTTTGATAAGGGCATTGCTTCATGCAAGATTTTGCATTTTCTTTCATGTGTTTATATATATGTACTCAAACATTTGCATTAAAAATGTGCATATACACATATACATACAGCACATGGATATCCTGGTATGCAGGTAATATGTGTTTTGACTAAAATTTCCAGCTTCTTTCCCTTGTAGATCTTGTGGAGTTCTAGCATTCTGTTAATTTTCTTTCAGTTTTTCTTAATTTGACTTTAACAGTATTGATAGGTTATGCTTTACTACAGAATCCAAATCTCAAGCAATCACACCTGTTGAAGAAATCTACTAACATTTGCATCCAAATATATTTGCTCTCCAAAATAACAGGAAAGTCAGTTCTTTGTAATTCCTAATATTACTTACCGCACTTGATGATGGCTTGTAACTTGAAAACTGTTATATAACCAGCAAGGCATTTTAGTGCAGTTTATGCATGAGCTGTGAATATCTTATATACAGTAAAATTTCCTACCTGTAAGGAAAGTAGAATGCAGGACCTTCTGTATTCTGGCATGTTGCTTAGATTCCTTCTAGGTGACTAAACTTGTCTTCATGTTTCTAATAATTTTCAGGTTTTCAGAAGCCACAAAAGATAATGAACACAAACGTTCTCTTACCAAGACTCCATCTAGAATGTCTCCATACGTGGAAGAGATCTGCACACCTGACACTCAAAAGAGCTGCAAGATAAGTCTGAAAACCAGCAAAGGAAGTGCAAGAAACAGTGATTTGTCTGCATCAAAGGGTAAAGTGGTTGATGAACATTTGGCTCTTTCAGATCAAGACTTACTAAATTATTATATAAATTTTTAATAACCTAATGTCATGTAGACCCAGTTTTTAATTTAATTCTCTAATTTATGACTGATTCTTTAGAAACTGCAGTAGTTTTTGTTTCTTTTGGTTTCCAGTGGTTTGACTAAAATGGTTAGGTGCCAAGACTTAAATATATGGGACCTAGCTAACTACAGAAAAGAGGACAGAAAATCATTTAGACCTTTAGGGACTACACAGCAGAAGATTGACATAGCAGATACAGGGAGACCCTGTCTGCACAGGGAGTTGCTCCTGACATCTCGGAGGTCTCATTCTCCTTGTGGGATTAGCAGTGTGTTAGGACAACCTGTTATTATCAGCCTCAGCAACCCTGATTAACTCAGGAACTAGAACTGAGAAAAACCAGAAATCTTCTGATCTAATGATCTCTGCACCAGCACAGCTCTGTCAGTGCAGCCACTGCTACCCTTAGCATCACAGGTGCATTTGCCAGGTCAGGAACCCAGCGCTGTTTGTTTTTCTGTATAAAAATAGTGATGTTTTGAAGGGGAAAGTAAAGTGCCATGCTGACCTGAAGCTGGCCTGTTCCAGAAGAATGCTGTGTTTAATGGGAAAAAACACTTGCTTCCAGATAAGCATAGGGACTAGGAAACACAATTTGCTCAGGACTAGAAAAACACATGAAGCATAGTATAATCATAGCAAAAGGGCTAGTACTCTACAACTATTGCTCTCTCCAGACCTGGAAGCTCCCTATTTCAAGTGAGCTGTATTTGCAATGCTATCTTTAGAGATAGCAGACAGTAGCATTTAGTGGCTTTTTGACCTTGATAATTGTAAGGTGGTCTTCACAGGCACTTTCCAACTTTGTGTACAGTGATGATCTTGCTACTCTAATTATGATATTTTGATGCCTTTTGTAGTTATCACTCCCTTCAAGTTTTCAGCTCAATCTACAGAACCCACAAGCACAAGGACATTTGACCTCAAAGCAAGTCTCGCGAGGCCACTTCGGTATCAGCCACATAAAGGTACTGTGATCCTGTGCAGTTTGTGTTGGTCATACCCTTATACTCAGCTGCTCATACAGGGAGGCATTGATACAAACTGTGATAGCAAAGTTCAGACTCTCTTCTCCTGTCCCTTTTCCCTTCTCTGAATTCCCAATTTGTGGACTGATGTTTAATTTCTACATAATATATGCTTTAAGAGCCTCGCTACTAAAGAATAAGACTTTATCACCAAAAGCCTATAAATACAAGAAGTAACATTCTTGTATTCCACTTAATAGATGTATGTACAGGAAATATGAAATACTCCTTGCACTTTTTTGAAGTGCACTATTGTATGAGAAGCTGAACTGTGTGGTGAGCTTTACTACTAGTAAGTAGTCAGGTGTTACTTCTTATGGAACTACTTGTAAGGAATGGGCTGATGAAACTGACAATACAGCTGAAGAGGCATTTCACCTTAAAGCTAACCAGAAAAACCCAGCCTAACTAGGATAAAATTAAGGATAAGAAGTTAAGCACACAATTACTAAATTAGTAAACTCGTCTCTTTTTATTGCCCCTAAACTATAGGACGACTAAAACCATGGGGAGAATTTAAAGAAAATACTGTCCCCAGTAAGTCTGGTGGGAGCAATATCTCTTCACATAAGAAAGACTACAAACAGCCACATCGTCAGACAAGGTTAGTACACCACCAGTTGTTTTATGAATAGTGTTACTTAAAATAATATGATTACTCATTCTTCTTTTTAAGATTTAAATATGCAGTTCAGGAAGGACTACTTTTGTATTAAAGCTACTTTTGCTTCCACTGACTGTTTAGTACCAGGAAGGCCAACAAGGAGGCTCACTCTGAATTTGTTAGATTTTTTTCCATGAAAGCTATCAGCTCTTGCGTTTGGAGATTTACCTTCACCTTGGACGAAGCTGTGAATATTGACATGTTGTTAGCTTGAAAGTTAGACCTGTATGTCTAATCATGTTTGCCTTCAGTCCAAAATGGTACTGTTCTCTCTGCCTGTGGCATGTGCAGCGCACTGATTAAATAAGTCTTAAGCCTTGGTCAGCTTCAGATTCCTTTGGTTGCTTGTGTCTCTATCTTTAATATAACTTGGTATCTCATCTGTCTGTATTCTTTCTCCCCCTCAGGGAAGAAAGACGCGAGAAACACGAACAAGAGAGAAAAAAGAAAAAGGCTCAGGCTCTTGAAAACCGTCGAGGACTATCTGTGTGTTAGGAAGAATAAGAATCGTCTAAGAAATCACTGTAAATACTGTTCCTGCCATGTAAATATCAGTGCTGTGTATTGTTCAGGTTGCTATTAGTTAGTGCTATCCAGAGAGCAATTAATGTGACCTTGTAATGTACCTGAGCATAATGTTTCTGGGATCAACTTCTTCAATGGGATGAGAGTTCTAAACTTTTAGGAGCTTAGAACTCTCTCTTGTTGCTTCATAATATTTTCATTTAACCAATTTATTTAACTAAAACATGTCAAAGAGGAAAATATAAGTGTAAAAAAGATGCTCAAGAACTTAGGCCAGACTTGTGCACCAGAATGTGCTTGTTCCTGGTAGAATGCAGGCTTTGGGTATCAAGCTCCAAAAAGTTCCACTGGTAAAATTACAGGAGTTGGAAATATATGCTTGGCCTGTTCTTCAGATCAATCCTTAAATTGCTGAACAACAGTTACAGCAATTATTCAGCATTTCTAACTGCATGCTCATGACATAGTAGGGAATTTCAAAGAGAAGAAAAAAATAAACAAGCTCTCTGGAAAACTAAAAGCTTAACAGCATAACATCATTGTAAACTACCGTATTATAAAAAGAGCCACAACTGAGAATTTACAAACTGCCCACTAGATGCTTTGAATGCTTAAGCTGGTTTTGTTCCTTTCTATGGTAAAAAGCAGATGTTATCTCTACGATGCTTAGAAGAGGTTATAGCAGTGTAGGCACATCTGGCTATAGTGTAGTAGTGAGGTACATTCCAATACCTCAGGTTTAAAAGAAGTTGTTATTTTTACTTTTAAAAAATAAAAAAGCTTTCTGGATTTGTTATGAATGGAACTGGATGGCTCATTTAGCAGTTGTAGTCTGTTATTGAGCAAATAAATGTTTCACTGAATTTAGTACACTCTCCAACATATGCTGAAATGTCAAGAACAAACAAGATTTTTTATATTCTTAACTGGCAAAATAAATAGTTTGTATATATCCTGTATATCATCTAGTGTACTCTGTGTAACTACTTTGTATAGCACTAGTTTTGTTCACACTTTTACTCCTGTGTCTTTCTCTGACAAGTTTTCCTTACCCATTAGCTTGCCTACCACTTTATGAAAGCATATTTGCTTTGGCATCTTTAGAAACAATAAATATCACGCTTCTTTTGCACTTAAGCTGTTGAATACTGTTTAAAAGGAAAGTTATAGTACAAGATATTGTTTCAGCTTGCTTTATTATGGTCTCTGCCACAAACTACAAGCACATTTAGTATTTGTAAAGTATACTTAAGGGCATTGGGGAGGAGGTTAGTGCTTTGCTGAGACTAAATTTGTGACAGCTGAAACAAAACCATTCAGCACTTGCTTTGTGAAATATTTCTCGAACCACTGAAAACCAGACTTCTCAGAGGAAGAGGAGGGAGTGAGCTTTATGCCACAACCTCAGGCTCTGACTTCTTATAACATAGCTGGATTAGACCAATTGCACAGTTCAAAAGTGTGGCCTGCTCTGCCCTGCAATTGTGCTAGTCGAGCCAAGCTGTGTCTCTTCACAGAGGAGACAGGGATGCAGGTTGTCTCTCAACCCTCCCTTGGAGCATTACTTATTTGTAACAATCTTAGCTCTGTAAGGCTCAACAGATTTAAAGGAAAAGCCAAGCTTGCTGCTTAGCTACTGTTTCAACCTTGACAGTGGCAGCTTTTTCTTTTTTTAGTTATCCAGAGAAGCCAAAGCTAAAGGTTGAAATACTTTGGCCTTTTCCACTTCTGCTGCTAAGTTGTAAATTTCAGCAGCTGAGTCATGCTTCCAGTGTGCTGTAACACCAGTCCTCAGGGTGGCAATTCTCATCAAACTTTAGTTTGAAACTGGGCAGATGCAAGTGTTTTACAGCTGTCAGTAAAGCACACACTGTAGAAAATTAAATTGTTGTGCAAAAAAAGAACAACAAGCACATGAAATAAAGCACACCTTTATTTCAGTAAAGGTCAGGACAGAAGCCAAAACTTACCCAGTGAAGAGTTACTATGTTGTAAGAACACATCACAACTCCCCTCAGGCTCTGTTCCAGTCCAGTCCATCTATGTGTACAGTCTCTCCAGGACTCTGTATTTGTGAGCTCAAAGATGCCAGTGGTGTAACACTTCACCCATTTATCTCTCAGCTTACGTAGAATCTTCAATTTGTTATAAGCCACGTGTTAAGTGTTTTATACAAATGAACCAAACATCTGAAGAATGTCCCAAAAGGACACCAGACAACTTAGACTGGAGTATTCTTGTCATATGTTTCATAGGCAAATTCTTCTGTATGAGCTCTATCATTTAAGAGGCCAATAAAATCGATCTCCAGCTGGAATGGACCATCTACTTTGTCTCCAATTGTGAATCCAAGAGTACTAACCTAATTAAAAGACAGACATTAGAACAGTATTTATAAGATCACAATCAAACTCAATTGTATCTCCCACGTTCATGTTTTACAAACAATTCAGGCCCATCTACTTTAAACTGGTATTTGTTCCAAATGCAGCAGCATTTCTTAAGGCTTGAACACATCACTAGCACATTTTCAATACAGACCCCAGTGGGAAATGACTTCACATTTGCCTTTCTACCCCTGTGTTGAACCCTTGATTTAGAACAGCCTGAGACTAAAGCAATGCTGCAATTTTTATCCTTCAGGGTTTGTGTGACCAATTTCATCACAGCTGGGTGTATAAACACATTTTCCTAAAGTCAGTTACAATTTTGTGAGTACAAAAGATAATACACTTAAGGATGTAAGGGATCATTCTAGATCAAGTCACAGCCTTGTATAGTGTGAAAGCACCAAAGACATTTTAAAATGCATAAAACTTGCTGCATTTAATACTAAGGCAAAGTTCTTAGCCACTGTTTTATAATTAGAATAATGTTCTTATATTCAGGAACATTGCTTATTCCTTTCCTCTAATATTCCCCGCCACCACTATTCCAATTTTTAAAAAAATTATTCTAACTGCAATAAATTCCATGAAAATCTGTGTGGCTCAGGTCTGCTTCCTATTGGCCTGTGGCTTGCTGAAAAGATCTCACAGCTCTGACATATTATGAAACACCTTTCAGAGACTCCACTATTAACAGTTCTCAGAGCAAGTTGAGTCACCAGTGCCTACTGAACTCGAGCTGCCCTGAAGCCCTGCTAGAAGTGCAGGTCTGAGTGGTGCCCATGATTTTAAGGACTGCTGTGCATTCAGGAAAATAATGCCTAGGATGTGTTGGATGAATAACTGAGTCTAAATATATGTTGCCAATGTATGCTTAAAAAATAATACAACACAGCATTGACGTTCCTCCCAGACCATTCTAATGCATTAAGGCTGTCCCTTCTCCAAAGCAAGCTCTATGAGCAGCCCCTTGGCTTCTGGAGCCTGGAGAGTTTTCAAAGCTCCATCTTTCTGATTCACTGTTACAGATGACTACAGAAGCCACCTAAACTCTCTGCTCTGAAGAATCTATTCCTTTTCAAGCCCCAGATATAGTGGCTGTGTCCTGCTTTTTATTCCTGTTCAACAGTTATTTCCTGCCTTTCATGGTTCCTTGGGAAACATACAGTAGTACCATGAAGGATCAAGGCATTTCCTAAATTGCCTTCACACCACGTCCCTGATTTTCAGGTTTCTTTAAAATATGTTTCTCAAATTACACTGCAAGTGCATAATTTTTACTGTGAAGTACTACACTTAAGAGAACCACGAACAAAAATTAAGTGGAGGATGCTTTGACCAAGCACTATTTTGTTCCTTTAACTCCTAGTAAATATTTTTAAATGCCCCATACACTGTGTTTTCATTTACCACTTTGAATGACTATATTCCAAATACTGATAAAATCCTCAGTAGCTGTATTTAAATTAGGCCTTTTGTAACAACTTTTTTTCTATAACACATTTTTTTTCTTGCTGTTGATTCGCCTTCTTCAGATCATCCACAGTTGCGTTCTATGGCCTCAGCTTCTACTCCAAAACAGATTGTTTTCATGCTGTCAATTAGCTGCCCTCAAATTTTCTTTCTTACTTTTTTTTGGGTTTTATTCATTAAGGCAATTAGGAATGGAATGCAACATTCCAGATGACTAACACTGATTCAAGTAATGGCCCTTTTATTTTCTCCCCATATATATTTCTAACATTGTTAGTTTTCCTTTTGCTTGTCACTGGATATTTAAGCTGCCCTCAGGAGGGTCACTGAAATTTAAAAGAAAAACAAGATACAGAAACAATATTTTCCAACATGTCTCCTGTGAATCAGTGAATTAGTCTACCTATTTGCAGAAATAAAATCTCAACACTTTTATTTAAAATGCAGACTAGAAGCCTGAAAAAAACCCACCCCAAAATAGCCTATAAACTCATCAGTTTACTGTTCAGATAAAGATTACTGATACAGCACATCCTCAAGTAAGGTCTCATGATACAATATCCCTGACAAGTCTTCTGTATCATAAAGGAAGCTTATGATATTTACTTTTGCTATTTTTGGCAGTACTGTGCCAACCAGCAGTTTAGATTGCTTAGTCACTTTGATCATTCTTCAAAAAAAAATAATTTGTTGTTGAAAAGCCAAGAACATTTTAAGTTGTTTCTTGGTTATAGAGATCACTTCAAAAATATTTTGGAGCTCCTATAAAGTAAACTGACACTGCTATCACAAAGTAGGATAATTTAAAAGCAAACACTCAAGAACAAGTGCCTTATAAGAAGAAGAGGGCCTTCAATTTCAAATTCACGAACATTAAAGGGTTTGTAAATTATGTATATTATGCCAATATGATCTTGAAGGAAATTCTGAATTTCTTGCAGAGCAGTTGTGTTCCTTATACTGCCTTGTCATATGAAATTTCAAACAGATAAAGCCCATAGAAAACTTGCCTTGTCCAACCAGATAGGATGCTGGTTATCCTGGACTCTTCCTCGACTGGAGATAAAGAATTTGGAGAACGGAATCTGATATAAACAAAACAAAATCAGACTTTAGTGTCACCAATATAAAAAATAGAAACTTAAGGGGGGAAAAAAAAGCCTGTTTTATTAAAAGAAATAATACTGTGCTACATCAGGTATCAGCATTAGTTGGGTACTACGGGAATGGGCCACATTAACCTTCTCAACTGGCCACTCGCCACCCGCTCCAGGCCCACTCTGTTCCACGGTGGCTGTAGCCTCCATGCAGGAGGGTCACCCTGCCAGGACAGGACAAGGGGCTGCAGCAGAGATGGTGGATGTTTACATGGGGAATATCTCCTTCCAATAACACCTCAACATAACCAGGAATCAGCAAAAAGCATAGCATGTGTGCACACTGACAGCTCCTCAGTGTGTGCATTTCATAGTGCAAACTTCATTTGTACTGAGACATCAGCGCTCCAGCAGAGCAGTTTGGAGTAATGTAAAAATGACTTTGAATGCAGTGGGAGCAAGAAAGGGGAGGTTTGGCTGGTGAGGGTGAGAGGAAGACATCCAAGCCAGCAATGGCACACCAACTTTCATCCTCCTGACTCATCTATGAAACAGTGGGCAGTCCTGACATGACTGGGCAGTGTATTATGAAGCACTCAATGCGAATTCATAAGGATGTGCAAACCTCTCTGAAGTTGTGACCAACCAATTACAAAAGGTCCACATGTTGCAGCAGAAAAGAGCCAGAACTCACTCTTAAAAATATGATTTTGTGTCACAAAGGTCATGAATGACAAACCACACCTCTGAGTCTCTGGCTGACCCCGGCCAGGCTACGGGTTAAGCAAATCCTGTTGCCAGGAGGAAATCCTACACCAGTCTATACCCATTTGTATTACAGATACAATGGTTATCATGGAGAATATTCATGGCAACACCTGGTAAACTTCAATCTCTGTATCTATCCTATTACTCCAGTAATAGCCAACAGCAGGCATTTAGGTGAGTGTATAGCAGATCAAATCCAATCAGCGCAGTGTGGCCTGGCACAACCCAGTTCTGAGAACTCCCAACCCAAAGGTCCACGTCCATTGTATAACAAAAATGCTGAATGGACAGAAATAGAAACAAACTGTGACTGTTAAAGAATCCCCCTTCCACAGTGTTTTGGCCAGGACCTCAAGAGAGTCTCACTAGTTTGAAAGACTCATTAGTTCACCTTTATTTCCTCCCAGTATGGTCCTCCTCGGGTGAACATGAAGTAGTTGTAGAGGTCATCCTTTTGATGAGAGAAGTAAGGGTCTGTATAAATGTTCACCATCCAAGGTCTGCCATCACCACGGACACGTAAATACAGACTGTTGAAATTGGACCAGTCATAATACTTCTTCCTGGCGAAAGACCCCTACAAATTATTAATAAATAGAATTAATACTCCTTAGGTAAGGGAAACTTTCATTATGAAGAACAGAGCACTGTTGCCTTGATCACTGCCCTCATTATTATGCCAGATAGTATCTATCATGACATAGTGAAAACTGGGTTACTCTTTCATCATACTAGCTGCTGAATTTCCTTCAGCACTGTATTAGAGCCCACAAATTGCAATATTACCACTCTAAGGACTCATGTTTTCATTATAAGCCACGATCTTGTAACTATTAGAAACCAGACCTCCTTCCTAGGACTGAATTCCCTATCAGGCAAGCACACAAATGCTATGTGGGAGAATTTCTGATTGCTAATGGACATGTGAGCAATCCAACCTTGCTAGCAGGGCCTGAGCAAGCTGCAAGCTAAGCTGCTCAAAGACACTGCTGCGGCGGGAATGTGAGGAAGAAGGTAGCAAGATAAGCAGCTCCTGGCTGTGGGATGCAGAAGTAGAAGATAGTTAGGGGTGGAGAATAATGGTTAAGCATTTTATGACTGATGTGTTAATAACCAATTATATTGTTTGTAAGGTGGGCTAGTAATAGTAGTTAACCAATAATAAGTGGGCGCTTATAACAGTGTATAAAAGAAACACTTTTGTAAATAATAAACAGTCACGAGACATTCAAGAAGAATAATGGCGTCGCCTTTTTGTACGCGAACTCCCGCAATGGTGTTGTGATGAATCAGTAGTTATGTAGTTCGTTAAGTTTCAGGTAGTTCATGAAATTTAATCTTCTGTGGTCAGTTCTAGATTATTCAGAGATGATGACAGGAAATTGAAGAAGTGAGAATTTATCCCCTGTGATAAATTCTTCAATCCCCAATTGAAGACTAACATAAGCACTGGGAGCACTTTATCTTTTCCAGCACTTTTTTTCATTAACTGTGCATAATGATGTGAATTGAAAGCATGTCTAATTCTCAACTGCATTTTTCCCAAAGATCTGGAAAGTCCTGGTGTTGTCATTTGTACACAGGCAGATCCAAGAGTCTTCAGAGGGTTACACTGAGGTCACTTGGAGCAATGAGAGCCAGGGGTCAGGATTATTCTTGGCCAGAATCGCCTAAACAAGGTCAAAATCAGCGCCAAAAATTCAGAGGTTTCCCCTTTATTTTACAGCACTACTATGATTACCTATCAACAGTCCTCCTACCAAATCATCTTGCAGATGAGTAGATAATCAATATATTAATACAAGGTCTGTGGCTGCTTGATTTTATCATTTTGACAGTTCTTAGTCTACTTAAACAAAGAAAAGTCTTTGCATATATGTTTTTACCTTCTGATTTCAAACTGGATTATAGACTCCACTACTTCAGAATTAGGAGGTGAAAATTTGAGTCACATTTGCATGTCAGTAACAGTCCTGAGAGTTTAACTCAGACAAGATTCCACTTGCTGTTCCATTCCTCTGATCCGGTGTCACCATTTTAATCAGTGTTCATCTGCCCCTCATTTACCCATTGATTTTGCACACTCATATTCTCAGCTCTCCAAGATTCTGTCCCTTGAATGATTTTTCTTGTGTACTTGTGACAGGACACAAACAAATGGTTAAGAATTCCATACATCGAGTCAGAATGTTCCTTTGCTTTTAAAAGGTGCTTAGAAATAAAGAATGAAACAAGCAGTATCAATAATAAGCACATCCACGTCTGGTTCTATTTTCCTCAATTCTGAGCCATCAATGATTTGTGTCTCATTTTTTCTCATGTACAGTAGGTGGCAGACCTTTAAAAGTATATTTCAAAGCATTATCTTCCGTTCTTCTGAGAGAAAAAGATGAGCTCATTCACCCTAACCAAGTTCAATGAATAGACCAAGGTAAAGCCCAGAAAGTTTTTCCTTATGACACAGTCAATTAACTTGAAATTTAGAGACACATCTATTTTAATCACACCAATTTTGGGCTCTATGATCTTGGAGGTCCTTTCCAGCCTTAATGATTTTGTGATTACAGATCTTTCATTTGCAAGGATGCTGCTAACAGGTCTTTCTATCACACATAAGTAAAGGATCAAACACATATTACTCCTTTTCTAAGAAAGGAAAACAAAACCCAAGAAAAATTTTAAGTTCCTTCCAGGTCAAAGGATACAGCAGCAATTACACCCCTGAAAGAGCATCTAGTAGTCCTGAAAGTAATCAGTTCCAACTGCAGTGAACAGCAGAGCACTTGCAGCCACAGGGATGACACAAAAATGCCCTCAGAGCCAGTCACACAAGCCATGTGAACATGAAGTTGTACTTACCACTGGTGGTTTAGCTCTCATGCTACAATATCCACTGTATTTTGTCTCCCCATCACGAGGTACTTCCGTATTGAGGGTTCCATACAGCAGAGCAGCCTGGTTATTCCTACCCAGTTTGAGATAAACTTCACTTTTCCCTCCAATCTCTACATCAGAGGAAATAATCCATTTATTTAAATCTTCTTGGCTCCGAAACTGCCACAACACCCTCGTCTGTTCCAACAGGTACTGGCTTAATGGATAGCCTTCGGGTCCTACTAAGTGATCTCTGGTCTCCTTCTTCAACAAACTCAGCTGAGTCTTGAAGACATCAATACACTTCTTAAAGCTGAAATCAGCATCTTTCCAAGAGGGTTTTTTCTTGGGCTCTGCCCCTGGCCTCCTGTAGCTGCTGTACAGTTTTGAATTGCTGGGGAGAGGTCCAAGGAAGAGGTGCAAAACTCTGTGCCTGCAGCATCCACCACACAAGGAAGCACTGTGCAGCAACGTACTGGTCAGAGCCATACTGGAAAACCTGGAGAGTTCACTTCCAGTAAGGAAATTAATGGGTTTGAAATTAATTTAAGAATAAAACTTGTATCCAGAGCTATCTTACTGCAGTTACAGTAGTGGGTCTTCACCTTTAATAAAAAAAGAGAAAAGGTTAAAAAGGATTTCATATAGACTGCTTGTGAAATTTTTTTTTAAATTGTGAAATTTTAATTTTTAAAAGAGATATTAACTAGAATTCTAAGTCATTAGGGAAAGGAATAAAAAAAATAAATCAAGAATCACAATTCCGCAGAGTTCTAGTTTACTTAATGACTTCCACCCTGTGCATTCCCCCTTTCTCCATGATAAGAAATCCCCATGCAAATAAGAAAACCAAAGTAAAATACTTCAAATAAAACTGAAAATAGACAAAACTCAACAATTCCTGTTCATCCCTTCCACTGTAAATATGTTTAGGTTTACAGTAACCCCAGCAAAAGCAACCCAAGAGGGTTTCTAAAAGATAGCACCTATAGACCCACTGAGTATTATTCCCTGCGAGCAAACCGCAGGTTCCAAGCAGACAGGCGCTACTGCCACACGGGCAGAACGACACACTCATCGGGCAGAACTTTTCAGACTCAGCGTCCTGCGGCAGCAATCCCACAGGCTCCTTCCACAGCCACCCTGCCCCTCGCGGGCAGCGGCCCCGCGCTGCACGGCGTCGTTCGCCAACACAGGAGAGCCTAACAGGGTCTGAGGACACAGACACGCTGCGGCCGCTGCAACGCCTCGGGGCCGAACGG